CCCCAAAACCCCAAAACCCCAAAACCCCAAAACCCCTTCACCAAAAAGACAAATTGAAATTTTAATTAAACAGAAAATTCTCATACTCAAAATCCCATTCTCAAAATCTGGATCTATAAGAGCCAACTCAGTCCTCTAATCCACCTCTATAGAACCTTATCCTGCTTCCATCAATCACTTCCATAGGATTTTCTGTCTCAATCCCTATCTCTACTGGAACTCCCTCAACATTTTCATCTTATTTGTCAAAAAGTCACCATTCTTCTTACACAAAGTCTTTATCAGCACAGCTTGGCTAAAGGGTGAGCCTGGCCTTACTTAAATTTAGAGTCTACATCCGACTGAATCTTTCTGAAGATATGACGCTTATTTTAACTCATAGAAACTTTTGTTAAACTGCTTGCTCAATATATCCGGTGCTTTATTTGAAAGACTTGTTCAGCTCTGTAAGAACAGGCGAGTATTTACTCACAAGTTTCCTGATTAGGGCCTTCCGCTGGGACTTCATGTCTGTAGAGTTAGTGAAGAAAGTACCTTTAATAGTCTCCCTGCATATCTTCTTACGGCAATTTGATATGAGTCTCTCTTTCTTAAAGAAATTGTTGATTGATTTATTCCTAGGAATTAAAATTATAAATATACCCAGAAGGAGTCATCCTCTCTTTGAAACGGACTGTGGATATGTTTGGGGTCTGAGCCCCTTTTCCTAATCTCCTCAGGTTCATTTTCGAATCGTATTTAGGATCCAATGTTGGCACTAGAAGGAAATTGGTAAAAATATGGGTAATTCCAGGTATAATTGCAACGTAACAGAGATTAGAATAAATTTCTTACTGTTTTCCTTTAAGAAAGGGGATTTCTTGATAACTTCTGTCAAAAATGTCGTTCCTTTATCAGGTACGTCTTTAGGTTTCTCCATACTCCTAAGCGTTCTCTAAACATCACCCACTAAAGTCCTACTCTAGGCACTTGTTTCGAGTAATGAGGCCTATGCTTTCGACTAAATGATTACAAACCGGTGTATACTTTTGGTCAAGTTTATGGTCGAGCATTCTTTGATTATTTCTCCATTCTATCAAGTGACATATTCATCCCTAAATTTGTGTTCATAACCCTCCAACCAAAGCCATGGCTTCACGGGACCTCTTACCTGGGTACTTCCGGAGCTCTTCGATAATACCTATAAAGTGTGGTTAACTCTGTGGAAGGATTAAAGCTCTTCATTATCAAATTTCGGTTTCTATTCTGAAGCAAATGCTCATAAACTAACAAAATCCTTCAGGACATTTTATAGCCAGAAGTACCCAGAGATGTCTGGCTTAGGGCACTTGGGCGAGGGGAAGAAGTGGCTTTTGGATTTTCATTTTTAAGGAAATTATAAACAAATTTTGGTACATTTTTAGGATTTAAAAAGCGGCTTTTGAGAGGGGAGATTTGATAGGGTTAGGTAAGGGTATAGCTTACTTTGATTCTGGGGATGATACCGAGATGACATGTTTTGATATTTAGAATTCATAGTTAGATTTTATAATAAAATTTCAATTAAGAAAGGCTGAATTGGGGTTTTGGGGTTTTGGGGTTTTGGGGTTTTGGGG